TTTCGCTAGTATTTAGTAATTGATATTTGCAAATAAAACTGAAAAGTATAGGTATCCGAAAATAAATGCGAGCCATTATAATATTCAGGAACCTGCGATACTTCTTATTTCGACTTCTCTACTTTTCTAAACAAAGGTATAATATCTGGTTATTTGAATTTCCATCTATTTTTACATGGATTTCTTAACAAGCACAGGTAGTCGGGTGCTAGAAATAGTTAGTACCTTTCGTAAAAATTAAGCGGCTGATTACATGCTGTCTATAACAAACTAAAAGCACAAAGCTATTTCAGTTAAAGCCAATTAATCCCCATAGCAGATCAAAACATCAACATGTTATTCCATCAGAGAATTTCTCCACAAAATCGCTTTGCTCTTATTATGCAGTTCTCAGTCCCACTTATCCCAAAATGCGTGTTTCCCAGGGAGGTAATCTCGGCTACAAATCCTCGAGATGGGCTCCGCTTTAGGGCTTAGGCATTTCTAACTCAACGGCAAGTCGCTTTCGGAATCCTGATATTTAATGGGAGTTGGTGAAGTCATTAAAGGATCTTAACTTTAATGTTGATGGCGGAGGAATTTATGGGAAAACATTGTGGACATGTTTCGGATTGCGCTAAGCTCGAAGGATTTGTTGTAACTCAAGGTCACCTTCCGATAATTAATAGAAAGTCTTCAGTTCGGTTTGGAATAGTTTCTTAAAGAAGGTTTTTACTGAAAAGTGATTATCTTCGTAACATTTGTAGACGCAGAATTTTCTGGGAAGAAGTTTTCTGTATACTTATATAAAACATTTATCAAAATATATCCAGTTATCTTCAAACAAAGTTAAATTATTAATTTGCAGATAAAGATTTCACTTAAAAGCTAGTAAAGCCATGCAAAAATTTCATACAATGTTATTTTCTGAGATGAAATTAATTCAGTCGAGAATCAAATGAAAAACCCCAAAGTCTACAAACAAATAATAGGATGACTAAGCAAAACAGTAAAAATAAAATGATGACTAATATGATGAGAATTAATAAAGAATAATATGAGGACTAAGCAATCAAAATAATTTTATCATTAAACAATCAAAACCGTTAACTGATTCTGAAAGATGTACAAGCCACCTGTTGTAAAATATATTTAGGAAGAACTCATACTTAGGAGTAACAGAACTCCTACTTAGGAAGAGTGGTTTGGGGAAGAACTGATACTTAAGAGTGAGTAACATAACATTATAAAATCAGATTTCAGTGAAAATATAAATGCAACACAAAATATAAACATAAATATATCGGTATCAATGTAGCCAGAAATTTTGCTACGAAAATAGTAAAAAAATGACTGAGGTGTCATAGAACAGCTACAGAAAATGCAGCCGAAACCTCTATCATGCAAAACCGAGTTTATCTATTTATACAAATATTATGCTGGGCAACTCGTGTATTGTTATGAACAACAAGTGCACAAACAGCGCAATCAATAACTTTCCCTTTCACCAGCGAGTACGTTAAAAGCCATTTTTTTCCCTTAGAAAACCTTCTGCGAAGTTATTCCTTCACTCCTAGGCAGATAGTCCTCGTGTGTATAATCTTAACCAAATAATCAAATCTAACACGTTCCGTGTAATCTAATATCTGCTTAGTTTAAAAGTTTTTTAAATATATTTTGTAGAATTACATTAAAAAGCATTCGAAAGATAAAATCAGCTGTTTTACTATTAAATTAAAAAGAGCTATTTTTTTAATTATAAGGCATTCGAAAGATAAAAGCAGCTAGCTATTTTATTATTAAATTAAAAACAGTTATTTTTGTCATTAAATTAAAAACAGCTGTTTTTACTTTAAAATCATTCAAAAGATAAAAAACTACTTTTATTATTAAATTAAAAACAGCTATTTTTGTTTTAAATTAAAAAACAGTTATTTTTTACATTAAAAAGCTTTCGAAAGATAAAAAAAAAGATTTTATTATTGAAGTAAACCGTGTGTTTTTATAAAATTAAAAATCGATGTGTACACCACATGACTTCCCTTGTACGGAATATTAATTAATACGCATTTTTCTAGCATTTCATTTAACGTTATTGGATTGAATTAATCTCTTCGTCGATAGCGCGTAAGCCACAATAGAATAAATGCACTCTTTAAATCACTATATTTGTTTACCATAGTACATGGGCCTAAGTTCACTAACAGCGTTATATTTTTCATTTAGAACTATGTGTTGTCGTAACTCATTTAGAGAGCAATCGTCCTAGGCGGCCTTTACCAATATTTATAAGTAGGTGTCTTTAATGATGAGTTGAATCCAGTAAGATAGAACGTAATTTTTGCACCTCGTGCAGAGTCTCTAGTAGAGAAGTAAACGTGGCTTCACGATGTGAGGATCTGCAGCTTGAGGATTTCTGCCGCTCTGTTATGCTTGTCTTGAAAGAAGCTGCAAATTAATCTTGATCTGTAAAGTTCAAAATCATCTCGATCGCTTGAAAAGCTAGACAAAGTTTTCGCATATTTGATTTAGCTGATTTAATTCTCTGAGGTATTGTGGTTATTGATTTCATGAGATAAAGGGTTTTCTGATCTTTGAAAATGTTATGATTCTGCTAAATTTTCCTGCGGTTTTTTTTTTTCTGCTAACTTTGTCACTGTAAAGGTTTTTGGCATTTCTTGATTAGTTTGGTCGAGCTTGAATGATTCGGGGAATTTATCTTAGTGGGAATTTCTTGTGTTTGTCTTCTTCTCTCTAAGATTGAATTTTTTCTGTATACCTTATAACCACGATAAGAAGAAACGTGATTTTCGTGACAGTAAATTCAAGTGGTTTTTATATGTTTTAATTACAGGTATTGGATCTGTGATTTTGTCCGCGCTACAGCATGACCTTTTTTAAAGCCGTTATTTTGGGAGTGCCCGAACTCCGGCAATTGAAACATTGAATTGGGCGTTTTCTAGGTGATATTTTTCTATTGTAATATTGAATCCAACATATTGTTTAAATGATGAATTTTCTCTACTGCAGAATTTCTTTTTAGTTCAAGGAAAAATATAGGTAAACGGATAATTTGGTCTTCTGCTTCCTTCGTGAATTGCTTTACCTTAATTATAGGGAAGCTTCTGCGTTCTAAGTCTGCGTGAACTGCTTGCTCTGTGTAGGATATTGGGATATTCTTAAGTATAACTTTAATTGAAGAGGCTGAGGAAATTTGATAGTATGAAAAGTAATCTGTGCTTTCTGGAATTTATCAACTGTAGCTTTATAATCGGCTTCAGTGGTAGTGTAAAGGAAAATCTGTCTGGCTTTGATTGTAACTTCAAATTCGTTTTTACATATTTCTCTGAGCATTTTGTCTATTTCAGGCCAATCAACAACTAATGGGGGGATTTTCGCTTTATTTTCTGCGTTACTCTGTGTTGTAGTCGTCTGCGTTTCATCTGTAACTTCCATAGCTACGTTATTTTCGTTAAGAGCTTCAAATCTGTTATTTTGCGGAATATCTGGTTGTGGGACAGACTTGGAATTTTTCGCTGTTTCCTTTGGAGCTTGCCAATTTTTCTAATTTATTGTTTTATCATCTGTTTTAGAATTTGCGAGATTTGGGGTGTTCTGAATGCTTGCTAAAATGAACTGATTTTGTTGAATTTCTTTTTGTAACTTTGAACGCATTTCTATCGCTGGTGGGGAGGTCAACGTCTTCTTAGACTCAATAAAGTTTAATTTTCGGCAATTTAGTTTTTTAATTTGAGTGAGAGATCTTTTGGGTTAGTCGGAGACTGAGTATTAATATATTCTTGCGCGATAGCTTCTGCTAAATTAGGAAAAACGTTTGGTTGTTAACTACTGCTTCAAAATTTGAAGGGGAGGGTTTGAATTTTCTAATATTATCGGCTATTTTCTCAAGATTCCTGCGGTTTTCTTTTCTCTGGGATTACTTTCTTAGTAGAAATAGAGTAGCAATTATACTTTGAAGCGACGGGTCATCTGAAGCAACTACAGGCATCTCTTTGGATGTAGTCGATTTTCTTGAATAATTCAAATAAGTAGAATCATTATCGCTATCATAATCACTGAAAGTAGCATGCCGAGGAATTTTGCCGCTATCAGGTGGTTTGCTATTACTGGCCATACCAAGGAGAAGAAGCAAAAATGATATTTACCAAAAATCAAGAAGAGCAGTCGTCGTCGCAAGAGAGAAACTGTTCATATGATCACCAAACTGAAATCATCTGTCATTTCCTCATATTATAACTTAGAATTTCATATTATAACTCAGAATGCACAAAATTTATATCATCTGAAGAATTATCTAATCGTTGTCACATGTTCTATTCAAATATTATAATAAATCTAAAACGACGTATAAAAGGAATTAAGCAAGCAAAACAATAACAACAACAACAACCAAAAAAACGTTTTTCACAGACGATTCAGTATTTCTCATTCAATTAATTTAGTCCTCACTTTGCTACAAGGCTAAAATACATACAGCTGGTTTTTTACTTTAATAGTCATTCAAAAGATAAAAACAACTGTGTTTATTATTAAAGGAAAAACAGTAAATTTTGCTATTCAATTTAAAACAGTCATTTTTTACACCAAAATGTATTTGAAAGATAAAAACAGCTATTTTTATTATTAAATTAAAAACAGCTATTTTTGTTATTAAATTAAAAACAGTTATTCTCTACATTAAAAGGCATTAGTAAGAAAAAAAAACAATTATTTTTGTTTCTGAAGATTTAACAAGACGTTTTACAAAATGTAATTTTAGAGGAAAAATGACATTTTCTTATTCTTTTTTTTTTTCGGATTATTTGAACCTATCCTCCTGATGACTTTCATAAAGACAGTGACTTTTCTGTGAGTGTTTTGAAGAGAAGAATATTCCCATGCATTCATTCTTAAAAATGATCCACGTTTATAACAAACAGGCACTGAGAATTTAGCTATTATTTAGAAAAATATAAGCTATAAGCGTGCAGAGATGTTATAGACTCAATATTTCTACTTACCTTTAAAGAGCGGACATATCTTCCAAACACTTATTGGTCCCTGTCTGTTATATTGGCCGAGCACTAATTCCATGTAGAACAGTGGCATGGCCCCAAAAACCAACATCAAGATATATGGTATGAGAAAGACTCCTGCAAATATATATATCACTAAAATGTAAACTATATTTTTAGCAAATTAAAGCATTAAGTTTTTTTTCCTTACTGAAAATGGAATTCAAATGTCGCAAACAGTTTAGAATTCAAAACTTTGCTTACTAAATTCATCTTTCTTGACACAGAGTTTTTACAGTGTTTATAATATACTGGTAACATTGCATCACAATACATGATGTTGGAACAAATGCTGATATGTGTATAGACTTGGTATAAAACATTTTACAGCAAGTTGCTGTGCCTAAGCTGTATTTTGACCCTACTGACCAGTAAGAACTATTTGAGAATATTAAAATGCAGATAATGAGATACAATAGGTTCGTTTCAGAATGCTGTTTGCTGCTGGATAAATATGAGATAGGGAAAGAATTTACAAAATTACAGAAAACATTGCTCGCTTTCAATACCTGGATTCTTCCAAGCAGCAATCAGAAACCCACAAAATACCATCATTGAGGTTTGAAATATTTTCTAAACTTATATGGAAACAAGAATAATTAATTACCAAAGATTTTCATTTGAAATTTGTTATTATTTTCTTAAAATTAGTTTTTGAAGCAATGTGAGAACTTAAAAATCTTAATTTAGTAATTTTCAAACTTTAGGCTTGAAATGTTTGTTGAAATCATAAATACCAAGATACTTTAATATTTTATTTGATATTGATTACATGGTCATGTAAAATTTAATTGCATAGTTTATATAACGTTCTGATTTCCAGAAACATGGTGCATTTTGTACCTCAATGGATGCGAAAGAATAGTGATGCAGAGAAGAATTAAATCTCTCCATCAGAAGTTGATTCAGAGATGTTACAGACTCAGTGTTTCAACTTATCTTTAAAAGAATGGACATATCGTACACCTATTGGTCCCTGTCTTCCACACTGGGAGCTAATTCCATGTACAACAGTGGCATGGCCCCCAAAGCCAACATCAAGATATATGGTATGAGAAAGTCTTGTTAAATCTGCACCAAGTAGTATTTTCTAGAATTTTTATGAATGCGTAATATTCATTTTAGTATTCTCATTAGTAAATTAGGTTTTGTCAATATCATTAATTCTTTTAATAATGGAACAAAATTAATTCCTACGTCTTTTGCAAAACACAGAAAAGTAAAGAATTTCTTCGAATATGTAATGTATGCATTAATCGAAAAGACCTTACGTTTATCTTTAAAGCAAAATTTCGTTTACTTCCAGAAGATACGATTGTCCACATGAGTGGAAGAGGATAAATAGGCTTATAAAATTTTTTCTCTTTAAATTTTAATGTATTCTGCCAATATGAAACAGTAAAGTTTGGTTAAGATATCAGTATAGGTTTGAGATATTGTGTGTGAATGCATGAAATGTAATTACTTAAAATACTCCATTTAATTTATTAGTTTACCTAAATTTTAAAGAAATATTTAAATATTGTAACTTATAATTGCCAAAGATAAACATTTTTTTACTTATACATTCTTTGGCACTTAAAAGCAGAGAAAAAGGGAAAAAGAGAGAGAGAGACGTACCTCTTACAGATTGCTTGAAATTCCGTATGGAATTGCGGAACAACAAACCGAAATAAATTATTACGAAAAAAAATAAATAAATAAATAAAAATAAATAATAATAAAAAAAAAAATCTGAATGTTTCAGATTTTAAATTACGTCCAAAGGGGCGTTTTTTAACATTTTGTGTGTTACCTTCTTATTAAATATCATGTTCCTCGCACTTAAACCATAAGATCAGTGCAACAGCAATATCGCAAAATAGTTTTAAAACGAGCATATCTTTAGAATTTCCGATACAGAGACTCACGCGCTGGAGATAAAAATGTTTTTTCCGCACAACGTTGCGATTGCTCCTTTGAAATCCTTGATTTGTTAATCAAAAATTCGTCAAAGTTTTAAAAATAGGAAATCGATCATAAAACAATTTCAAATTTCAAATTTGGTCTTCCACATGCTCATATTCGTTGGAGGATTACGTTATTTCAAAATTCGATGACTCTAGTACCGTTATTTTATGACAATGTGAGAAATATAATACATTTCCAGATTTTCATTATTTAATTTCTTCAAATATAATGCAGGACTCTAACATTTTATGGCAATAGTTTAAAAAGTGAACCGACATTTATCCGTCCGACGCAAAATGCCAAAACGAAAGTAATAGTCCTTCGGGACTCAAGTCCCTTTGGACTAATTATGCAAGTAACCGATTAGTGACCCTTCCCAGCACATGCAAGATGAATATCGAAGAGAGGATACTGAGCAATCGGAGTTCAAGAACAAAAGCAATTAAAAGAGTGTACTGAGACTGGGTGAAATCTAGCAGACTCTGAAAGTAATTTGGCTTTGCAAAGCATTTGTCTGAAAGCAATTTGGACAAACAAAAAGAGTAATGAAATGAAGTTTAGGACGGTCATATCATTAGACGTAGAATCTATTAATCTAGCCATCTTATCATATCTTTGCGTCAGAGGAGAGAGGTGCCGGTGATAGTGTACAGAAATCGCAAATTTAAGGAAAGCAGTGGATAGGCAGATGACAGAATATCAGAATTAAGGATTAATATCAGAATATATGAAAGAAGAATAAATAGTACAACACACATCATTTTCCGTAATTTCTAACCATATGGCATCATTTGCAGCTATAGAGATTCCTGGCTGGATAACTGCCAGATGATTCGTAAGACTGGGGACTAATTTTAAGCATCCATGATGTCGCTCTTGATTAACCAAAGATTGTTACTGGCACTATTTATTGAGGTGTCTGACCCGATAAACATGGTTTCTAAGTACTGTTAGATAGAGTTGCGCAATATTCAGTGATAAATCATGATAATATTCTTTTATGAAGTCCAGAAATGGGATGGGTACAGCTCGTATTCCCTCTTTGTTATGACACTCTACATCTTTCCTACAACGGAAATGGGTGTATAGGAAGCGCTCTCTATGATGGCAGTACACATTCAGTAGGTATAATTTTAGAGCAGCTTAAAAGTTGATGAAATTCTGTTTCCTACTGTTCTACGACCCTAAGCCTTTTTTTCCAAAAGATAATGTTTGTCTTCTAGCAACATGCATCTCACAAATACAACAAAATTTTTTTTAAAAAATGTCAACACTTCTTCGTAATCAGCTCTATGACTTAAATTTTCTCCTAATTCAACATCCTTGAGATATGATGGCATGCCGAATGCAGCCATCCTGGAATGTCAATAAATTACCCATATCTGGAATATTACACTTTACTTTTTAAACTTACGCTTCTTTATTACTCTGTGCTTGTATCCAACGTGGAAGTGATGCTATGATAACAGAGAGAGAGAGACTTCATCCTCTTCTAAGAGAGAGATAGCTTCCTCTTTTGTATCTTTCTAAAGTTCTTTATGTCTCAGGGATAATCTGCATAATTTATGTACATAGCATGCATTAAATGTCGTTAAAATTAGATGATTCCAGTTGAGATTAGTTTCCTAGAGATGGCAAGAATAATTAGAAATTTTCATGCTTAAGATAACAGTCAATTCGTACTTATCGTTGATGACAAAATACCTGGCATGCAAGACCACCCGCTAAATTTCAAATAAATTATTTAAAGTTTATTATAAAATGTTACCTTGAGATAATAAGAGACTATGTTTAAGCAATTCAAAAAGTCATTAAAATTATTACAGCAGAAATTTGCCTGGATGGATTTATTCTGTATCATATTTCAAATTTTTAAGATCTTAAAAATAGCTTTGATACACGACAAATTCATTGTCTTTTCGTGCAAGTTTTTCTATGTGTCTCCCATTTACTTAACAGAGATTAGTACCAGTTCTCATCTTGAAATTGATTTTTGATTTTTGATTTTTTACTTCAACACCTGAGAGTAATTTCAGGTGTTCTTAATCATCTTTGAAGATAACTTAAAAATTTCTGAAAAGTAGTTTTTCACGGACAGTTTTAAAGAAATTGTTTCCGTTTAATCAAAGATTTAGTTTCTCGCAGTGTAATAATAATGCTGGCGCATGTAATTTTAGCTTATTTATCCATATTATTATTTATCGATATTATTATTTATCCATTTATTTATCCATTTTAATGTAATTTTAGCTTATTTATCCATGGACAATAATTTAATAATTAAGTTGTAAGGTATATCTTAAGTTTATAACAGTTATATTAAGTTTATTTACCTTTTATATCTCTTCTAGCTTAAGCTTGCGATTCCTTACCAGAATGAGTTTTTAGAATCGCGTTAAATGCAAACGAGAAGGAGTAGTACTTTAGTGAAAGTTAGATTGACTTCGACAGAGAGAATTAGGATTACTGAATAGCGCGCGTTTGCCTTCTGGCTACGTCTCTCTAAGCTGTTACTAAGCTAGGCCTATTTCGTGCCCTTGGTAGTTTCGCTAGCCAATTTAATATTACGGCCAACTAGTTTAGAAACTGTGTTAGCTTCGGCTAATTCTCTTTAGTTAGTCATTAATTAAGTTCTTATTTCTTACACTTTTGAGTTTAAGCCCAAATGGAGGCTTTGTTGTACGTCCTGAGAAAGGGGCCGCCTGTCATCTTTATTTTTAGCAATAAAGGGTAATTAACCCTTCTATTTTTAGACTTAAGCGATTATTCGCTTAGTAGTTCACTAGGTTCTCAACACTTAGTCAGTAGATAAAAGTGAGGATCCCTACAAGGCTATCAGAGAATACTTTTAGTGTATTATAAAAATTGTTTTTAAATTTTAAAATTATCCATTCAGTAAAAGCAAATCTGCTTAGAAATTTCTTTCCTTTCTTTACTTGAGGGTTCACTAAATTGGTTATAAAAGTTAAAATGATGTTCACTTTGTTAAACACTGATAAACTCGTTAAGATTATATTTCCTCCCTCTTTCCAGCATGCCTTTGTGGTTTAACGGAAGCACACTCAGTGTGTATTCGAGAGGTCCAAGTTCAAGTTCCTGGTCGGGCGCCACTGTAGAGTCGTTAGAAATGTTATTGAAGCACATTCTTGTGACATGATGCACGCCGAGTGCACCCATTCTGGAATGTCGATAAATTAGGAGACGTGAAAAATATGCTCGCCGGGCCTCGATCCTGGACCTCTCGAATACAAGCCTAGTGTGCTATCGTTGCACAACGAAAGCATGCTGGAAGAAGGGAAGAAATACCTTCTAAGGTGGTTGACTGGCACCAGTGGCGTGGTGCTGTAATCCAACTGCTTTGAAAGTCGGGTCTGTCGGACGGCTCTTCAGCTCAAGCAAAGGCAGAGAAGAAGCGATTCGAGTACAACCTTCTAAGATGGAAAAATTTGTTGTCAAAGAGTCTGAAAAAATAAATGGATTAAAATGGACAGACACCAGACTGAAAAAGATATTCTGGATAATATGGAAAATGCTGTATTTTATATGGAATAATTTATCTTTTTTTTTCCATGAACAGCATTATCTAATTAAATAATTCCACAACAAAAGGGATAATTTGTTTTTTCTTCAGAAATTAATTTTTGGTGAGCACTTTCTACCAAAGTCTTTTGTTGTTAAGAAGTTAAGGACATAGCTAAGACTCTAAGGACTAATGATTCATGAAGGGAATTTCTGCAAGGATCATCACTATATTCCTTCAGATACATCATTTAACATTGTTGATGATGTTAGATGATTTTTGCATACTCGTCATCTGAAGGAGACTGATATAAAACCATATTTTAGGATTGAATGACCATTCATATCGAATGTGACGTTTTCAGACCTCATTATGCAGAGAAGTGAGTGAGAAACACTCCGCAATAAGGCTTCATTTTGTAGAAATGTCACAAAAGTCTATGTTTGGTTTCCTTCAGCAATAAGAACAATGTTAATTCAGCATGAAGCTAATACATAAGAGTGCTAGCTCAAAAGCAAGATCATTATGTTCAGGACTTCAATGTGCGATGTTCTATAACGTTAAATGGCAAACAGTTTTTCCGAGCTGCTTAGATTCTTTCCTTCATTCCACGACATATATCACAATAAGATCTTAACAGACCATTTTTATGATATGCAAATTAGAGCTTTTAGGCTTGCATGACAAGTACGATTAAAATTTACTGTCAATTAAAAAATATTAGAGAAGAGTTGGCAGCTTTAATTTACCGAATTCTTTGAATTTTACCGGTAACATTTATTTAAATATTAACATTTTCAGATATTAATTTTCATCCACACAGTGAGAAAGTTAAACAAGATAAAGTATACTAATTCAGAAGTCAAACAACAAAAATCAGGGTTATAGTTTCAAAATTTTCATAGGAATAGTTTCAATGGTTTTACCGATTGAAATTTTGGAGAAGTGGATTTTCTAGAGGCATTTCACATTCAAAAAAATCTTTTTGTTCTAGTTAACGATCCTAATTCCAATCTATCTTTGCCTTCGGCCTTTAAAGAAATTATGTTTTAGTTCTGGTTTCATCAACAGATGGCGCCACTTGCTTATTCATGTCCAGGCTTTCTTATCTTATCTAATCATTATTTCCTATCTTGTTCATTTGCGGTTTTGCAGCTGTGGATGGTGGTTCGGTAAAACCATCGAAACTAGTCCTGTGAAAATTTTAAAAATATATCGCTGATTTTTGTTGTTTGACTTCTGAATTAGTATTTATTCGGCGTGTTATTGTGTCTTAAGATAAAGTATGCTTAAGCGTACGTATAAGTCCATTTTGCAATGAAACCTTACCTCCTCCATTTCTGTAGCACAAATAGGGAAACCTCCAAACATTAGCGAGGTCCACAGCAAAGCCGATGATAGACAAGAGGAAGTCGGCCTTTCTGCTCCAAGTATGTCGTTCTTCGGTGGATTTGGGGCTGCGGTCCTCGTCCGTTGGGTCCCCCTGGAGGGTCGTGCAGGGAGCCCCATCGCTCAGCAGCTCACAAGTCACCTTCTCCGGAGGGGTCTCCGTGGTGCTCAGCTGCCCTGGGACGGAAATGTCTTCAAATTACTATAGAATATTATTCATTTTAGTGAAAACAATGCAAGTAAGTTTTTAAAATTATTGTGGTGAATCTTTACATTACGGTAACTTGGCTATTTTTTGGCGAAACTTTGGCGACCAACCCTGCTACAGCAACCTACTAGTTTTTTTTTTTTTTTGACGCCATTTTGTTTTCACTAAGTAAAGGCATGTTTTATTTATTTATTTATTTATTTATTTATTTATTTATTTATTTATTTTTTTTTTAACTCAACATTTTTTCCAACAATCTGCTAGCCAAATTACGCTTATACTAGAACTTTTATGGAACAAAAATGCTTAATCATGATGAAGATTACGTGCGAAATTGGGAGAAAGTGCAGAATCGCAAACTGCTTGCCACGTTTTTAAGAATTGCACATACACTGTATTCATGTACACGTCGACCTATTTTCACTCATAAAAACATCCCAGAATTGCATTAAAATGGCATTGCGCACACTCTTGACTTTATATATGTACACATCGACCTATTTTCACTTAAAAAGTCAAAGAAAATTGACAAAAATCCTATTCTTCATACTCTTATAAAAAACGCCAAACAAATAAGTGGGCGATTCTGCACTTTAGAAGCAAAATTGTTTCTAAGTGCTTATTAGCTAAAATCACGATCGAAATTTTCCGGAACATGTCACATAACATGTCTCATGATCTCTCATTTCTCTGAGACAAAATAATCTGTGATTCAAACTGTGTACTTCTCAGATTATTGCTAAAGTCCTAGCTAGTAACCTTTATCGCCTTATAAATGACGCCAAACTACCTGTTACCATATTCTAAAGATTAGCATTATTGTTACAGATTAAGATACGGAAACAAAGGCATCAGGAAGCCAATACGTAAGAAATGCTGATTAACTGAAATTTTAATGAAACAGAAAGATAAAGTTTTTAATAAAAGCAGTTCTCCGATCAAAGTAAATCCGATCAAAATAACCTTTTTTTTAAATTGAAAGCTTTTTGTATTTATTAAGAATATAGACTCTTTATAGATGCGCTTACATCGGAGATTAATTTTTAAATAAAGCTTTCCATTTTCTCAAGCTTCCTATTCTTGATAAAAAGAAAGGTAACTCGTATGTTTCAAGATGACTCAACGAAAAATATGGAAGCTGTAATAAATATTGAGTCCAAAATAATTACTGTGTACGATGCAATTTGCTTTTACTAAAATTCGATGATCCTAATTTAGTGAAAGAATTCAGGTTTTTTTTTCACAATAAAAAATTATGCATTTTAAAACTAAGCCGAACATTTTGAAGTTTCGGCTAACTACATGTCCTGTTTACTTCTTCCAGAGGAAAAACTTTAGATGAAGCTAAATATGAACTACTGCATCTCACTTTTAAATGTGTAGTCACAAAGAAACTATTTAAGGCTTACTTTTTTAATACAACTTATTCGTTACATTTGTGATTAAAAATCACCAACAGAAAAATTAACAAAATACAGTCGTTTCAAGAACTAATTACATAGTATATAATTTAATAATACATAAATATTACCATAAATATTACTGCTATAAGGATATTCCAATCGTATTGTTAATATTTTATGTAACGTTCTTCAAATACTATGTAAAATTAAATATAAGATTATATTCTGCTATATAAAATAAACTAGCAACTTCGCTGCCAGACTTCGTCTGGCTTTTAAATGTACCGGAAAAATGGCTGAAGGAAACACTAAACGTTAAATTTAAAAACTGCGTAGAATTTTACTCTGCAGAACAACTTCATAAAAAAAAAGTTATTACGTATAACAAAATTACAATGAAATAAGAAGCAATATCCCTTAATACAAATATTAATTATCCTAATAAATAAATTAATCAACTTCCCTTTGCAAAATCTTAAGAACTCAAATGGTATAAAGGAGATTAAGAACTTAAAACTTTTCAGTATCTTAAAAACAGTGAGCAATAAATAACATAAAAGAATACAAAAAACAAAAAATTTTGAAAAGCAAAGTATAATTAATGATATTTTGTCTTATATTTTCAAGAGAAAAAAATTACAATGAAATAAGCTATATCCCTTAATACAAATATTAATTATTCTAATAAAAAATGAACCAACTTTCCGTTGAAGAAAAAAATCATGCAAAACTTTTCAATATCTTACAAACAGTGAAATAAGCAAAAAATAACATGAAAGCAACTCAAAGAACGTAAAATTCTGCGCAGAATTTTACTCTGCAGAAGAACTTTAAAAATAATAAATAAATAAATAAAATAAAAATAAAAAAAAAATAAATAAAAAAAAAAAATAAAATAAATAAAATAAAATAAAATAAAAATAAAAATGTATTATATAAATATCAAAATGACAATGAAATATGCCACTCTCTTATAAACAGTGACATAAAAAATACGACGAAAAATTGTTGCCAAACCCATATTTCTAAAAGAATGAAACTATTCAAAATGATGCGATTTCATCAAAAATCTATCAACAACAATAAGACAGGAAAATTGTTGCCAAAATCACATTTTTAAAGATGTGAGAAGTGTACTCGGAAGCTTCATTTAAAAAACATTTTTAAAAATACAAAATATTATCATTTTTCCAAAATTTTTTTTGCAAAAGCAGTCGAAAGGATGAAAGTTTAAGGTGTCCAAAAATCAAAGAAAAATAAACTGTACATTTTCAGAAATAAACTTTTTTAGAAAAAATCCCGTTGAAAAGGTGTTAAGCTTCCTTTGTTAAGTAAATTCGTATTTAATCGATTTATTCAAACACGAAATTTTAAGTTCGTAAAATAGCGGAGTGCCTACGTTTCATGACGATGTGAAAATGGAGTGTGTAGAGTAAAATCTCGCTTTCCTATAGCCCATTATGTCTCAAAATGACGCGATTTCGTCACAAAACATAAAATAAAAAAATTCAAATTCTAATTTCGAAAAAAATTGCTTCGAGGTGCACTGGCTCTTGTCTAGATGCACCTATGCACCAAATTTCGTAGCCGTGGGTCTATTAGCTTACGCGCAGCGCAAACGAAAGACACACACACACTGACAGACTCTTTCTTTTATTATATGTAGAGATGAAATTCGGGGAAATAAGTTTAAATGAAATGCAAGAAAAAATGCGTATAATTTAATATTCCGTGCAAAGAAGTCATGTTGTGTACACATCAGATTTTTTACTTTTGTATTAATTAAATAATTATTAAATAGAAAATACGCATTTCACATCATTACTTTCTTTATAATCCCATTTAGCAGAAAAAAATTGATGACAGTTACCTTATTTCTTAGCTTAACAAATTAAGTTTCAAATTGCATAGCGTTGTTAGTTTTATCACAATGATTCACCTAAATCAGAAATATATGTAAATTCAGTTACGCGCAAATGAGATGAAATACTGCTGCTTATTAACTGAATGTATATTGCCACTGAATCTTAGGAGAAAATGCTAGTGAGGTCGTTGTCGAGCTGTTGTAGTGACTCTGTGATTTCGTTTAGGAATATGTGGAATTAGAGATTTAGTTTTGCTAATGATTTAGTTCCAGGTGTTTGCCTGTACCGACCAGGCGTTGGTGTTTGTGTTTTATAAAGCCAGTTAGGTTAATCTGAATTTACGTCGCAAATGGTGAGACATGTTTGTTTCTTTGATTATCTTACGCAATTACGTACCTCATAGGAACTGCAAGATTCTGTTCATTAGGTCAGAATGATAAGATTATTTGAGTATAAATAAAGCTATAAATTTATGAGCTTAAATTAAACTGAAAATGTGAAATCAAAGACTACTTAGGATGAAAGTTTTTAAACTTTCAATAAAAATGATTAGAAATCTGAGCCGTGTACCTGACGACTTCGGGGTGCTTGAAGAAGAGCAATATCCGTCATCATTGCAGTTCTTGGAAATTTTCTTTTGGTCGTTTTTCAGAGGATGGGTTTCTTGGGATGTAGTGGATAGCAGGTCTTGTTGCATTCTGCGAAACGAAGACCCTAGAAGATGCGCTCTGGCATCCTGGATTCACTATTAGATGAATCCATAGGCTTCACCTGTAAAACAGTAAATGTACACATTTATACTTACATGAAATGTATAGGACTTATGTCATCTTTTTAAAATTGAAAGGCAAATATAGTTTGTAGCATGAACTTAACCGACACGTTTTGACAATTTACCATGTCTTTATATTAACTAATATAAAAAAATTTAAATTATGGATTATCCTAGAAAATGTGCTGTTTGAGAATACTATAAGATGAATGTGGGGAAAAAAAAGAAAAAAAGAACGTTTTGCACTAAAAAGCACGTAAAACGAAGCACATTCCTTATTGAGGTCGGTACATTGTTGGAAGCAATAGTGTGGACGTATTATGATACGTCATGCTGAAATTTACTTTTATTATTCGTGATTTAAAATTACAGATGAATTTTGCAAAACTCTTTTTTGAGAATTTTGTTCTTCCATCCATTAAACTATTTAACTTATTTTCTGCTTTTAGTTTATTAACTATTTTGTAAATTTTATATAAAAGTTTATTTTATACATTTTTTACTTATTTTTATTTTCATCTTTGTAGTCTCAATGACACATTATCAAGCAAATTATCCAACTGAAAAACCATTCTTTTAACAATGAATAACCCCGTTTTTAGTTCCAAAAATTATTTACGTCAAATAGACGGAAAACATTCCCCTGATTTTACCCAAAGTCCAGAAATGACATTAAAATCAAGATTTTCCTCCATTCTATTCGACCCACCGGCTGCCGAGCCGTAAAGTTGCTGAACGTTGATGAAGCGATCTGGATTTGATTTCAGACGAACCAGCTGGCTACAGGGAAGTTTTCGTGGTTTTCCATACGTGTAACGTGGATACGAGCCTGTATCCCTTAGAAAAACCTTCACGAAGACATCCTTCCTCTTAGGCAGATAGCGCTTATGTGTTTTGCCATAATCAAATAAACCAAGCCAAATTAAACCGTTCTGTCTGTAGGATAGCGCGAAAAGTAAAATTGTGAGATTTTTAGTTTTTTTGCTACACTAAGGTATATGCGAAAAATCGTTTCAAGATTAAATTTAAAAACGTTTAACCGGCTCATCACATTGTTGTTTAATTCAAGATTAGTTTTGAAAACTTTATATAGATTTAGGTCAACAATTTTCGTGGAATGGTTAATATAATTTTTCAGCGACAAATCTAAATCCTTCCTTCTTTAATTTAGCAATAACAAACATCATGCTCTATACCAGAGTTTGTTAACTGCGACCCCCATGGGGGTTGCGGGACCCGCAGCAGGGGTCGCCAAAATTTTAGCAGCTTTGATATTTCTTTAACTTATTATAATAATTTTACAATTACCAAATATTTTTACACAATGTATCTGAAAATAGATAAAGATAAGGCAATACAGACAAAGAAAAAACGAAAACGTTTCGACGCATTCTTTCTGTACTATAAATGTCCAGTTTACTTGCTTTGCAGGTAACGCTGTCATTTCGTCTGTTACTTATTTAAAATTTTCACAGTGATCTATGTCTTGAAATTCGAAATTGAAGTTAATGATCTAAAACTGCAATAGTATATTACAGCACAAGTAAAAAAATCGATAGTTTCACTCACGAGTGTGTCGGATTTGCGCAATGCTTATGGAGTCCCACAAAATTTTCGCAAATATTATGGGGTCCTTCGTAGCGAAAAAAAATCTCAGTGATAAAAAGGGGTCGCAAATGAAAAAAGTTTAAGAAGCCCTGCTCTATACGATAAAACTAAACAAAAATTTGCTGCCACCTCATGGGTATGACTGATTTATATACTTTGTCTACTTGTTAGAAATTAAAACAAAAATTGAATTCACAGATTAATGTGACATAATGACAAAATAACCCTGAAACTGTTTTTCAAGCGAAAGAAAGGTTTTTTAAAACAAGCTGAAGTTCTTGTTTTATAATATCTGAAAATTTCAAAAATTTGTAACTGATGAAATGTTAAGATGTTGAAGTTTAAAAATAATAGACGGGAAATACGAAAACAAATCGAGCGATTTTCCAAAATTCTCTAAGAAAATCAGAAATTACGTTAAAAATGTTCACACGAATTTCATTAAAAATATCTTTTTGCTCTATCCAACAGGGCAAAAAATAAAATACTGCGATTTTTAGCTTGTTCGTGAAACGCAAGATTATATATAAATATATATAAATCGCATTTTGAAAAGACCGCATCGCATTGTATTGTCTTCCACAAACAGTGTATTTACAAAATTTGATCTCGACAGCTTATTAGGAAGTTGTTTAAAAAGCGATGACAAACTTTTGACCATAATAGCAAACATTATGGTGTGGTGTTGGTGTATTTAATAATGGCAAAGCAGATGAGGGCTATCTGCCTAAGGGGAGGGATGCCTTCGGGGAGGACTTTCTAAGCGAAACTGGCTCGTATACACGTTACACATGGGGAAAACCACGAAAACACCCATGCAGCCAACCCGTTCGCGGGATTCGAACCTCGGACCGAACAACCAGTGTTCAGCGACTTTACCGCTCGGCCGCTGGTGGGCCGGCAAACATTATGAATAAACTAAATAAAAACTTATATAAATGACAGACAGCTAGACAAATATATTAGAAGTATCAGCGAGAAAGCAACTCAGAGGGAACCAAAACAAACTTAATAGGCCATATGATAGGCATACTAGAAAATATATCATCTTCTAGCAATTTGATAAACGTATGATATATTTTTCACTGCTATAATTTTTATACACGCATTGCTGTCAATGAACCTGAGAATGAAAATGAGGTATGTACAAGGAGGGAGCTGAGGAATTTAATACATAAACCTACAGAGGAAGGAAGGATAGTCTGATGTTGCGTAGAATAAGTGGCAAACTGCCAGTCTTGTGTTGCCTGTAGAACCAGCGACAGCTAGATAGTTGAGGATTGTACGCTCATTATGTCAATGAACGAATCAAGGGCTATCGTTTTCTATGAATGAAACTGATATGATGACATGTGTTTCAAAAGAAAATTTAGAAGTATTTAAGAATAATTCCAATTTTGTAAAATTTGGGTAAATATTCGCAGAAGATACAATATCATGTTCAAAAAAATTTAAAAACCAAAACCATATAATTTCAATATTTAGTAATTTTGGTGATGAAACCGTATATAATTGCAATTAAAATTTGATGCGTAGTTCAGGGTAATTTTCAAATACGTCTTCCAAACGCCATTTTATTCAACTATGTTCTTCACACAGTTTGAGATGCTAGCACACGAATATATTTGCTAAATTTAACATCAGGATTGGTATGTCTAAAGATATATTTCATATCATAAGGAATACTAAAACTTAAATAAACCTGATTATTTACTTCATTACATACCTTCATAAGGCAACTAATAAAATATTATTGCGTTATAAGGGTTCATGGATTTGGAGTAATTGACGATAACACTTGATGAAGAATCAAAACACAATTTATTCGCCAATATTGCACATGAGAATTCCAAAGACACGTTTACAGGCGTCGAAAAACTATGATAAACACGCTGAAACATGTTGCTGATGCAACACAGCCTTCAGGCTACAATGGTGAAGACAGCTTCACAGCAAAGCACTAAAGTACAGCTTCCGACTCTATTCAGTCGCTCTCAAGCTAATCTCTGAACTCACCAGACTTTCTCCGCGTACAGGCAGGGTATATATAGCTTTTAATCTACATTTGAGAACATTCCCGAGGAAATGCGCCAAGAATGTGTTCTAGAAAAGTTCTCTCTCCGTCTATAGCAATTTTGTAGCTAAATATCACCAAATGGGAGATTTCGCACCAAATCTGGCAACCCTGCCTTTCTTTGATACTTTCTGGAAACCCTAACACCGCTTTACAGGGAAGCTATCTTACTGCAACAGGGTATTTTGTAACAATATATTATTCGTATGAAGTCAGAAATCAAGAAAATTTTCAGTTACGCAAAAGATTGCAATCTTAGTTTTCTTGAATTTCTTTGCTTTCATTTTATTCCATAAAATATGCACGTAAATTTGATCCCAATTTCAGTACTACTATATTTTTTAAGAATAGGTTTAAGGGTACAAAAATTTCAAGTGTTGAACTAATCTAGCAGCTTAATTTAGGCCTATGTTTTATTTTTTCATTAAAAATTTTTGTACCTTATGGCATTTTTGTAATATTTTATCTAGAAAATTTCTAGCTTAAAAGCATTTTAAAGAAAACTATTCCGTGGCTTTAATCTTTTTTTTTCAGATTTTCTTTAAAAATAGTCATACGTGTTCACGAAAAGAAATATAGTATATATTTTTCAAGGCAATTCTCAAATATTTACGAAACATACTCTAAGCAAGTCGTTCTCAATCTTTTTTTGCCTTGTGCCCCCTTTTCACTTTTCATTAACTAAAATTAAATACTTGATACATAAATAAAAGGCTGATAGTTCCTCCTGGTGAGAACCCATGTTCTAAATCGAATATTACGAAGCCTGATAATGAAAGTGGCCAAAGTAATATCGTCACCATCACGCCAGAAATACAAATATGTATTTGTTGTCGCTTTCTTTACATAATTTTCCCATTTGTTTTTCGCTACTTTGCTAGAAGAAAATGTTCACAAAATATAATTTTACAAAAAAAAAAAAAAAAAAAAAAAAAAAAAAAAAAAAATTAAAACCAATCTCATATCGAACTTTTAAAAGCATTTTTCCGGAAACAAAGATTTTTGAGTTTCAAAGTTTTGACGTGGTGTTTATAAAGTTTTCTCCCATACCACATTTTAAATCAGCAAACAGACTAGGAAACTATATCAAGGCTCTTGCATGTTACAGTACGTTCTCTCACGTGATGTCTACGACATCGTATGAAGTCAGAAATCTGTCAAACGCTTCAGTGAATATTTATATCAAAAAATGAATTTGTATTGCATCTTAATTCGGGTACACAGCTAAAAATACTGCTATCTTGCTAAAAATAAACTGTTATCACGAAGACCAAGGTCACGTAAATGTCTCGAGTCTCATCTAAGAGAAGCCAGAAG